GCACAAGAGGCAAGTGCATGGCTCCGAGTTCACACTCAAGTACTGAGACTAATAAGAACTCACCTCATTGTACATCTCCCCTCCCCCCCACCCCCCCGCCCTGTGATTTTGGTGTTTTTAGGTGATGTCAGGTTTGAAATTCTGCTTTATTCTCTCTAGAGAATAAATATTTCATGCTCTGCCATAGTGGGTGGGGACCACAGCCCAGGGACAAGGAGCTTTCTGGGGATAGTCTTTGTTTCACACATAGATTCTCCATTAGCCTGTCACCTTCCGTGTAGGTGACTTCCTTTTCAAGATAGCCCTGTGTGTGACTTTGAATTCACTCATCCAGAAGTCGCTGTTTCAGTTGGGTTTTGGGACAGGGTGACAGTCTAATCATTGTGTAAGGTGCCATTTTTTGCCCAGAAATCACATCTTGTCTTCTTGAACCACTGTGTATGCTTTCCTCTCTTGGTGTGTCAGGGAAGTCCCTGACAAGTCTGGCTTGGTAATTTGCAGTGTTGCATGATACTATTCACTTGTTAGCGTGGACTCTAAGCCCAGGGCTAGGCCACAGTTTGTTTCCCGCCACTCTAGGCTCCCCAGGGTGAGCCACAGAGCCATGGATGCCCAGTTCTTTGGGAGGCTCTTTTCCTGTGATATTGACTTATACACGATGTGTGGAAGAACAGTGGAATTACAAGTGATGTCATAATTACTGAAGAAAATGTGGGTTTGGAAAGTGGTGTTTTTGGTGTGAAGGCGGCTGTTGGAATTAATGACGGGTATAAAAGCATTCTCTTCCTAACCACGTTATAAAACATGCTCACTCTTCCCTTCCCCTTCTCCACTTCTTATTGTGATGTTTTTTTCTTCAAAGAACTCATTACCTACCCTTGACACATACATATTTGTGCACCATGTGACTTCCCACAGTAAGGTGCCTCCACTGGATGTTGTGCATCCTAGACCAGTACCTGACACCTGCAGGTGGGTGACAGAATCGTATTGCTCCGTGTGTGTGTGTGTGTGAGTGTGTGTGTGTGTGAGTGTGTGTGAGTGTGTGTGTGTGTGAGTGTGAGTGGTGTCAGTTCTGCAAGTTTCTGTGCGTGCACTGTGCTGATAGCTACCCCTGGACTGTGCATGTCATATTTAATAAGTGGAAAACCAGTGAGCAGCTTAGGAACCAGTGTTCACCACTGCTGGCCTCCATCCAGTGTTCACCACTGCTGGCCTCCATGCGCCCTGGGTGCGGGCAGCTCCTCTGCTCTGCCACTCTTTGATTCATGGCTCTTATCTGATGGTGACTTGGATGCAATCTTAATGTTTTCATGATTCATTCAGCCTTCGAAATGGGCAGTGGGTAGAGAAGGCATCTGGGAATGTGGATTGCAGAGATTATAGAGGTATTCTTACAGTTGGTTGTAAAGATATGCTACTTTATGCAGGATGAAAAAGAACAGGATGGAGTCTGGCACCAGTAGCTCACACCTGTAATCCTAGCTACTGAGGAGGCTGAGATCTGAGGATCATGCTTTGAAGCCAGCCTGAGCAGAAAAGTCTGTGAGACTCTGACCTCCAATTAGCCATTATTTGGAGAGAAAATTCTCACAGACTTTCCCGACCCACTGGCTTTGAGCCATGATTCTCAGGTCTCAGCCTCCTGAGTAGCTGGGATTATGGGTGTGAGCCACTGTACACCGCTGGCTGACTTCGTACTTGTCGAGTGGGCCTCAGATCTTTCAGGGCCACTTGGTCTTGGCGAATCTGGTTATTTTGGGTTTTACTAGATGGTGTGTCTTCTCATGATTTATTAGTTCTGGTTCTCACTGTCACCTGTGTGGTTGATTTCCACAGTTCAGATTGTGAGTGGGAGGAAATCTGACCGGCTGTTCTGAGACCCATTGGCTTCTATCAGATATTACACCAGTTAGGTGTGAGCACAACTGTTAGGGGTGTGGTTGGAATACAGTTCCTCAAGACAAACATGGTGGTTTGGCTGGTGTCCAGGTCCTCTCTTTGTGGACCTGCTCAGACGTTTTATCTGCATAAGCGTATGTCTATGTTGTCGGCAGTTCTTTTTTCAGGAGGCAGTTCAAGAAACGATTACTATTAAAATTTCTTTTGGACAGTCTATAACTACAACTTCCTCATCCCCTCCCTCCCACCCTCCCTCCCTCTTCCTTCTCTCATCTCCCTTTTCCTCCTTCCTCTTCCTTCCCTCTTCTTCCTCCTCCTTGATTATTAGAACTTTCTAATGATCATGTTTTTAAAACTTGTTAATAGTTTTTGTGGGAAGTGGGACTACTTCTGTGTCAGTGGGAAAATGCTGATGTTTAAAAGGTAGAGTGTGTTACTGCTTGGGCTGGATGTGTAAGTTAGAAGTTCCTTGCACTTGTAACAACATTTCCAACTTTGGATTTGTGTCTGTTTTAAATGCTCAGAATGTGAAAGTTGAAACTTCAAGAAAGCATACATCACAAGGCAGTTACACTGTTGTAGGATAGCAGTATTTTATGCGTCACAGGGCAGTTACACTGTTGTTGGATAGCAGTATTTTATGCGTCACAGGGCAGTTACACTGTGGTTGGATAGCAGTATTTTATGTGACTCTGAATTTGATGGGGAGTAACACAGGCTCAGCAGTTCCGCAGTGGCACAGAGAAGCTTCAGTCAGTTTTGGTCACTAAGGCCATCCTCCCGTTAGCCCTGCGCTCTTCAGCTTGCTTGGTTTGGGGTTTGTGGATATACCATCAGCATACCACAGTCATCTAGGTGTCCAGCCTTTGATTAAGTTTGAGGCTCCTGGGTTCTATGTACTGTACAGGATGTTCACTGGACAGTGACTTACCTGCGTGGATTACACACTAGGCCACTGTAACTAAACACAAGAATGATGCTACAGAAAATAAGCTCATTTTTCCAAATTGCTGCATCTAGCCTTGTTACACCTTAGCAGTGGGTGGCGCACCAGCCCCTGAGGGCACAGCTTCTCTCCTGATGGGAAGAAGTGCGTGAAGCTGCGACGTAGCTGTGGTGGTGTATGTAGTTGAGGGTTTTTTGCGACGTAGTTGTGGTGGTGTAGTTGAGGGTTTTTGCGACGTAGTTGTGGTGGTGTAGTTGAGGGTTTTTTTGTCACTTGCTTTTGTAAGCATCGTAATATGCTACAGAATGTGACTATTTTAAATTGTGTGGACTGAGGTAGTAATGCTGATTTTTTTTTTGGGGGGGGGGGGGGCTTGAACTTAGGGCCTGGGTGCTGTCCCTGAGCCTCTTTGTGCTCAAGCACTCTACCACTTGAGCCACAGCACCAATTCTGGTTTTTGAGTGGTTCATTGGAGATAAGAGTCCCATGGGAACTTTTCTGCCCAGGTCAGCTTCGAACTGCAATCCTCAGATCTCAGCCTTGTTTAGCCAGGATTGCAGTAGGCACGAGCCACCAGTGTTTTAGAGTAGATGAAGTAGCGGCTCTTTTCACCAGATCTCCTTTTTCCTGTAGAAACGTAACATTTGAAGAAACTAAGCATTTAGCCTGAACATTATTATTAATTTTTTATCGGTCCTGGGGCTTGAACTCTGACCTTGGGAACTGTCTTGGGCTCCTTTTGCTCAAAGCTAGCTACCAATTTAGCCACAGTGCCACCTCCGGCCTTTTCTGAGTCTGACGGACTTTCCTGCCTGGGATGGCCAAGATGATCCTCAGATCTCAGCCTCCTTTGTAGCTAGGACAGGCATGAGACACCGTGACTGCTAGCTGTAAATTATAATTGCATGAGCCTTTAAACTTTTCACTATTGGTTTTTGTGTGCTGGTGTAATCTCAGCGCCTTGTGCGGTTTTTGCTCAAACCTTGCTAGATGCACATCTCTACCTTCAGCTTTTCTTTCTGGCCATTAATGGGAGTCCCACAGTCAGATTTTTCTATCCAGCCTAGCTTCAAACCTCAAGCTTCAGTCAGGTCTCAGACTTCTGAGTAGCTAGAATTACGGATGTGTACCACTAGTACCCAACTAGATCCTTCCTTCCTTCCTTCCTTCCTTCCTTCCTTCCTTCCTTCCTTCCTTCCTTCCTTCCTTCCTTCCTTCCTTCCTTCCTTCCTTCCTTCCTTCCTTCCTTCCTTCCTTCCTTCCTTCCTTCCTTCCTTCCTTCCTTCCTTCCTTCCTTCCTTCCTTCCTTCCTTCCTTCCTTCCTTCCCTTTTTTCAGGTCTGGTCGTGGGGCCTGAACTCTGGGCCTGGGCGCTGTCCCTCAGCTCTTCAGCTCAAGGCTAGCACTCTTACCACTTGAGCCACAGCGCCACTTCCGGCTTTTTTCTTTTCGCTTATGTGGTGCTGAGGAATCAAACCCAGGGCCTCAGGCATGCAAGGCAAGCGCTCTCCCACTGAGCCACCTTCCCAGCCCATTTTTCTTTGTTCTTAAGCCTATACTCCGCCGTTTGAACCACAGCCTTACTTCTGGCTTTTTTTGGTGGTTATCAGAGGTGAGAGTCATACAGACTTTTCTGCTTTGGGTGGCATTGAACTGCTGTCTTCAGATCTAGTTTCCTGAAAAGCTAGGATCACAGGTGTGAGCCACCAGCGTCTCAGCTTCTTAGGAAATTGTTAATGTGACTTTTCAGACTCCCTATTTAATCTCATTTTAAGTATGTTGACTTAGGTCTATACATCTTGGTTTATAGTATATATTGTACTGAAATAAACTTGAACTTTTCAAAAAATATTTTTTCTAGTGTGCCTCTTAGTTGAGCAAAAGAGAAATATATAGAATAAAGGAAGAGTGTTAGAATGAGGAAAACCTAAATGTGTTCTCATTTAGAGACAAGCAGGGCTCTGGGCCTCTTGTCCAGTGCTTTCCATCTACCCAGAGTCCGCAGCAATCACCTCACGTGGGAAAACCACACACACCGACTCTACATCCCGCGCTCGTGCATTGCCTTCTCAGTCCAGGAGGTTTAGACAGCCCCGAGGAGACCCTGAGTCAGGGGGAGAATTTGATGTCTGTTTCTTTCAAATGCTTTACAGTTATGCAAAGAAAGAATCCGATCTTAATGGAGCCCAGATCAAGCTTCGGGAATATGAAGCGGCTCTGAACTCCAAAGACGCAGCTCTGGCTACTGCCCTCGGCGACAAGAAGAGTTTAGAGGGCGACGTGGAGGACCTGAAGGACCAGGTTGCCCAGGTAGAGAGCAGCGCTCCTGAGCGGCGGTGGACGGGGCTGTGGGCATCAGTCTTGATGGATTGATGGATTGCTTTTTCCATGTATTATTTTATCGTTTGGAATTTTGTTTGGTGGCTGGCCTGCAGAAAAGTCTTGAGAGAGTGACACTCAGCGTGATGCTCTCCCAGCAAAGAGCCTTCCTCTGGGAATCACGCACATCTTGCCTCTCTGTGTGCTGTCATTCTGCCCCTTGCTCTCAAAGCAGATGAGAGACGGGAAAGATGGCATGATGCAGGACAGGTCATTCACTAGATCACTCGATTCAAAAGGGTTTCTCACAGTTCTTTTTCCTGTAACAGCTGGAGGCCTCCTTAGCGGCTGCCAAGAAACAGTTAGCAGAAGAGACTTTACTCAAAGTGGACCTGGAGAACCGCTGCCAGAGCCTCACCGAGGACCTGGAGTTCCGGAAAAACATGTATGAAGAGGTAACTGTGTGTAATTGTACTTCTCAAAGGAAAAAGTGTACAGTTTATACACATGTATTTCCTGATTTTCCCACAGATCGGTATTAGGCGGAGAGATGGTCATTTGGGGGATAGGTGAAATTGTTCAGGTGAAGCTGAACTTGGGCTAAAAGGTTGTGTCCAGGAGCTCAGTCTGTTCTGATGGGCAGAGTTCACTCTCCTGAGCAGCAGCTGGGCCGTCCACAGCTGTAGGGTCAGCAGCTGTGGGTTGTCTTTTGTGGCCCCACACTTTCTTCCACAGGTTTTCCTCACGTCAGTGTTTTCGAGGGGCAGGCGTGTGAGCGTGTTGACTGTGGCTGTGGCGTGCATCAGCTGCAGGTCGCGACCGAGACGCGCCTCAGCCCAGCAGGGAAGATGCTTCCCCGCTCATTCCCAGTGACCATGTGTTGTGTCCACAGGGCTGCTCACCATGTGCCGAACTCAGGAGCGAGCCCAAGCCCAAGACCAAACTGGGTCACAGTGGTCAACCCAGATGCATTGTCGGGAAAGGATTATGTTAGGGGCAGATACCCAGGGGCTAAAACTTTTTGGAGCATTCTTTTTTGTTGTTGTTGTTGATCATGGGGCTTGAACTCTGGGCCTGGGCGCTCAAGGCAAGCGCTCTACCACTTGAGCCACAGCACCACTTCTGGTTTTCTGAGTGGTTTATGGGAGATAAGGGTCTCACAGCTTTTCCTGCCCGGGCTAGCTTTGAATTGTGATCCTCAGATCTCAACCTCCTGAGTGGTTAGGATTACAGGCATGAGCCACCAGCGCTCAGCTTAGAGCATTCTTAAAGTCTGGCCACTCAAAGCATTTATTCATGTATGTGTAAAATGTAGACAGCATTTGCAATCCCTTTATTGCTGCGGTCAGGGGGGCGACAATGCAAATGTTGCCAAATGGTGTGCAGAATAAAATTGAAGAAAGCAACACGTATTTCCCCTAAATTGAAGCCAGTGGACATGAACCCAGGGTAGAGAATGAGCATTAAATACCAAATGCTTTTAGAAGTTGTATTCTTTTCAGAAGAGTGACTAATGATAATTTAAAATTAACTGGAGAAAAATACTAGAAATCTGTTGTTTTGTAGCAACAATAGTAAGATCAAGTAGGTATTGTGGTCCCAAGTACACCAGACAGATGGGAAGATCCTGGGCAGCTCTGGTGTCGGTTTCTCGTTTAAAATGAAATACCAGCAGGACCAGTCTTCCCTCCACGGAGTAGAGAGAAATCAAAGGAAAAACCCAATAATTGTGTTGGCTTTATCTATAAAAGCAGAGACTTTCATGACATGGACTTAACATTTTTTGTTTGGTTTTGTTAAACTTGGCCTTGATCTGTCATTACATTGATGGTAATTGGCTACCAAGAATAGTTTTTTTCTTTGTAGATCACTGGTTCTTCCTGAACTAATCATGACTGAAAAATGGCATCATTAATGTAATTTAATATTTTTGGAATATCTGGAAATTATCTTTTTTAATTTTTTTATTGTGAAAATACTGTACAGAGGGGTTACAATTACACGGGCAAGATAATGAGTACATTTCTTATCAAGCATTGTAGCCTCCTCCTTTGTTTCCCCTTCCCATCCCTTCCCATCCTTCCCCTGCCCCCCCAACCAATCCTCCCCGCTACCCGCCCCCCCCCCCCAAAGTTGTAAAGTTCATTTTTCGACATAACGACTTGTACATCTCATTGTTGCAATGGGTCCACCTGTATCCCTCTTAAAGTCATCTTTTAATCTTTTTAAGGTTTTTAATGTTGAAAATGAGTTTTCGATTCTGTTCTTTGAGTGCTGGGGGCCTGCTAGCCTAGCAAGCACCAAGCCCTGGGCGATGTATGTAGATGGAGATATGTGTGTATGTATTTTTCTCTTTTTTTTCTCCTATGTTGAAGACACTTCAAGAAACACATTTAGTTTCCTTAGGAATAATGAAGTGGTAAAGTAGAGAGAAATTCTAAGAGCAAGGGAAATAGACAAAGGGCACTATTGTGTTCTCTTTGTTGAGCTAACCCTTTTATTTGTATTTTTTTTTTTTTTTTTTATTTTGGTCGGTTGTGGGGCTTGAACTCTGGGCTTGGGCGCTGTCCCTGCACTCTTCAGCTCAAGGCAAGCGCTCTACCGCTTGAGCCACAGCGCCACTTCCAGTTTTCTGAGTGGTTTATTGGAGATAGGAGTCTCACGGACTTTCCTGCCCTGGGCTGGCTTTGAACCGAAATCCTCAGATCTCAGCCTCCTGAGTAGCTAGGATTACAGCCCTGAGCCACCTGCACCTGGCTTGCATGTTTTTATAGTGGAATTGTTATCTGACTTATCATCTCTCGGTACTTGATGGCAGAACTGGGATTTGAACTGTTTTTCTGGTTTTGCTAATCCTTTTATTATATTTCACTTTAATTATATAAATAGACAGAAAAACAAATGGGCCAAAATAAGCAAGTAGGGTGTGTGGGGGGGGTACCTCAGTGCCGGAGTACCTCACGTGTAAGGCCATGGGGGGCTGTTTGCAGTGCTGTATAAGAAAGAAAGTTGCACAAATAGCAACCTTAGTGAGTTATACTTCCCTCTTGTGGCTTTTAGAATTATTGCCATCAAAGACAAAGCTCTTTTTTTTTTTTTTTTTTGGGTCCAGTCGTGGGGCCTGAACTCTGGGCCTGGGTGCTGTCCCTCAGCTCTTCAGCTCAAGGCTAGCGCTCTACCACTTGAGCCACAGCGCCACTTCTGGCTTTTTTCTTTTTGCTTATGTGGTGCTGAGGAATCGAACCCAGGGCCTCACGCATGCAAGGCAAGCGCTCTACCACTGAGCCACCTTCCCAGCCCAAGAAGGTAGTTTTATTGCACTTAAATCTTGACTGGGAGATGTTCTCGTGGTAAGTTTCGCTTTCCATGTGCATTTTTTCCCCAAGGTCTCCCTTAGGAGACCTAGAAAAAACGATCAGCCCTGTTGTTTAATGGAGTACTGTACTAAGCTGTCCATGATTGTGTGACAGTGATTTCATCATCCGGGCCATTCTTGGCCTTGGAGAGTAGAACAGCTCTGAGACTCCTGAGAAGGAGTGGACAGTTCCTTGGAGTTGGAGTATTGTCACTTATGTCCCTTCCTGAGCGCCAAGGGCAGCAGAGTATGGGAGTGTGTTCATGTGCCTGGCCCGGGGCGGGGCGGCACAGACTCCCCAGGCTGGCCCCGAGTCCCTCGCTCATGCCCGGGGTGCCATGCCGAGTAACTTGGTTTGTGTCGTTTTTGTCCCCCAGGAGATCAATGAGACCAGGAAGAAGCACGAGACACGCTTGGTCGAGGTGGATTCAGGGCGTCAGATTGAGTATGAGTACAAGCTGGCGCAAGCCCTGCATGAGATGAGGGAGCAGCACGACGCGCAAGTGCGGCTGTACAAGGAGGAGCTGGAGCAGACCTACCACGCCAAGGTGAGCACCAGGCCCAGCGGGCGCCGGCCAGAGCGGGCGCCGGCCAGAGCGCGCGCCGGCCAGAGCGCGCGCCCTCCACCTGGGCGGGCGGCGCAGGCCAGAGCGCGCGCCGGCCAGAGCGAGCGCCCTCCACCTGGGTGGGCGCCGGCCAGAGCGGGCGCCGGCCAGAGCGGGCGCCCTCCACCTGGGCGGGCGGGGCCGGGACGCACCTGCTGTGGCTCTAGTCTCACACTCTCCACGCGTGCAGAAAACAGATTGGCGATGAAATCCAGTCCCCTATATACTAAATGTGGCTAGAAAGTACTAGAAGTGAGTAGCTGCTCCAGTTTTGTTACACATAAGAGTTGGTTCTTTTGTCTCCTGGGTCATGGGTGTCTTTGATAGTGGCTGATCCCACGTGGTCTGCAGTGGCTTCTTCCCGTGGCAGCTGACCCCCCCCGTCCCCCCCCCTGTCCCCCCCCTGTCCCCCCCCGTCCCCCCCCCCCCCCCCGTCCCCGTCCCCCCTGCACGTGTCCTTCAGCAAAGGAACATCGCCGCACTGCTTCTCGTCTGACATCTGCAGTGGACGCAGATCGTGAACACCGCTGGGCTTCACTGCCCAGGGGCCCCGTGGAAAGTCTCTGAGAGTTCTTTTTCTGTCACTCTTAAGCCATTTATGAAGTACTACAGAAACATCCCACTTGTGCTAGCTGAGCATTTAAGGTTGGGAGATGATTTTATTCCTAAAGATGTTAAATATTATGTAGGTGAGTTAAAGAGGGTTTCAGCATCAGGCTTAGAAAATTAGGGTCATGGAGATACTAACAAATCATTTCCATTAAGCGGTGTTAGAGTCTTTGTGCTGGGGTTTATGAGGCAGCAATTGGCTAGTGTAAACGGAGATGCTATGGGATATTACCTTCCGCTGTCCAACCCTTAATGAGTGCTGGTATTCAGTGAGATAGCAAAGGAACTAAAGTGTGGTCTTCCCAGGTTGAAGCCTAAAAGAGAGCCAGGGAAGAAACGAAAATAAAGAGCCTCAGGCACACACGTGCGCACATGGTGGGCATCTAGAGGGATTGGGTGTCATTTATACCCAAGAGGCTATTTTTCTTCCAAATATCCTTGAAATAATCTATTCTACAAACATGGCCACAGTCAACCTTCTACTGCCTAGTTTCCTTATTAGTGTGTTTCCCTACACTACACATTAAATGTTTAGCGAATAAAGTACTGAACTAATAACCTTTGGGTAATGACCCCCATTTATTAATATCATTAAAAGTTTGTATTTGAGGCAGTGAGTGGAAAAGGTCGATTTAGGGAAACCCAAAGCACGTCAGCAAACTTGCTTTTCCTGTGTTTCATCAGCCGGTTACCAGCAGGACATGAGTTTGAAATGTTGAGGTAAGTCGTGCTTCCTCATTTGCTAGTTCTAATTCACGAGGTGGGACTGACGGGCTCATTGCTTCTTGTAGCTTGAGAATGCCAGACTCTCCTCAGAGATGAATACTTCCACTGTCAACAGTGCCAGGGAAGAACTGATGGAAAGTCGTATGAGGATCGAGAGCCTTTCCTCTCAACTTTCAAATCTGCAGAAAGAGGTAAGCAACCAGCTTCTTTTATGCCGAATTGCACTTAGCCCAGGAGTCCATCCCGCCCTGGCAATCTACTCTCTTTGCCTGCCTGCTTTCATTACTGTGTTCATTACCTAAGAGGAGGCATTCTGCACTCAGCTTTCCACAGGGTTTCCATCTGCTTTGTATAAGCATCCTCTGAGTAGATACTGTTGCTCCTAAGGAGCAGATTGTGTGGCCCTAGGGCCCCTGCTCATGTATTTATTCACTGGACTCAGTCTAGCATCCGGGTTTTCTGTCTGCTCCACCTGCTGGCCTCATCTCTACGGAGTGCTGGTTTCACGTGTTTTTTTTTTAAATTTTAATTTTTTTTTATTGTTTATTGATAGATCCCTTCATCCACAGTGGTCTTAATTTCTCTGATTGAACAGTGTGTCTTGTTTAGTGTTCATTACTGGCAGTGGATTTGAATACTTTGATAACTGTTTTCCCCAGCTCTCAGCCCCCTGAGTGGTTAGGATAACAGTTTCTCAGGTGTGTCATCCCTTCCCTCACGCTCTCCCTGTTTTCTCCCATTACCTCCCCCCCCCCCCCCCCCCCCCCCCCAGTTGTAGAGTTCGTGTTCCACATAGTGTCTAGTGGGGACCGCTGCTGCATCTGTTCACCGTTTGGCCCTCCGTTTTCTCAAGTTCTTTTTTAATCATACCTCGGAACCAGAATGAATAAGATGTGCAAAAATGGTTGTGGGTGGTGAGATGTCTTGTGTTTTTACGCAGATGATCTTTATGGTTACATATGTGTGGTAGTTAGAGCCTTGTGAAGCGTCATGAATTCCTCTTACTAGCATGCGGTGGTGTTGCTCGTTCTAGGTGTACGTAAGTAACAAATGGCTGCCGTGCTGCCTGAGCCACAGCAGCTGCAGCGCGTCTGGTGCGCTTGGGGGCACTGTGGGCAGGTGTGGCGTGATGTGGCGTGGCCGAAGTCACTTCCCCTGGCGGTGCCAGCGTGGGGCCCGCGCGGAGCACGCACAGCCCCCGGGGACGTGCAGCCCGGGCCACTGCCTGGAAGTAGCTTCAGCTCCCGTTTTCCTTAACAGAAAATTGTGTTTAGGGATTTCACATGAGAACAAACTTCACATTATTTTACTTCCAATTAGGCTTTATGCCTTCATCTTCGCATTTTGTCATTTATTATTAGTTAAATATTTCACTAATTCTAGAACAAGACGTTCTTCTCTAAACGCAGAGTGAATCTATGAACCAATGTGACCTAAAAGATCAGTATAGAAGCTTTTACGTTGCCTGTTATGTATACTTTATTACTTGCAACCAGAGATTCTAAGTTCTTTTAGAATTAGTTGCCCTGGCAATATTTTGAAAATTTCAAATCATTGAAGTATAGTGAACAGCTTTCAAAAGATTGAAGGCGGGGAGGGCCTGGGAAGCTCAGAGGTGGTGAGTTGGGTGCTTTGCGGGTCGGGGCCGCAGGCTCTCTCTGTGCATGTTCTCTAATGGGTCTCAGCTTCCTCTGAGACCTCACTCATTGAAAAAGAGCTGGGAGTTTAGCAGCTAATTTGTTTTTCTCTGCATCATCTTAGTCCTTTTGGGCTGCTAGAGCTAAATATCACACTTGGAAGCCTGTGAAGAATAGAAATCCTTTTTACAATTAGCGAAGGCGAAGGACTAGCTGAGTGAGCGGGCAAGCACGTGAGCAATATTTGCTGATTTCTGCTTCACGGTCTCAGCGTGTGGTGTGAGAGTAGAGGTGCTCATTCTTTGAGTGCTAATTCCAGGCAAGAGGGTTTAGCTCTCTTTTCTTTTATCTAATTATTGAACAATTAATTTAAGTGTTTTTGAGGGTGGGCAGTTCTAGGGCTTGAACTCAGAGCCTCATGCTCTTGCTTGGACTTTTTGCTCAAGGCTGGTGCTCTACCACCTGAGTCTTGCTCTGCCATATGCCGCTTTTTGCTGGTTAATTGGAGATAGAGTCTCACTGACAGCCTATTCTGCTTAGGCTTCAAACCACCATCCTCAGACCTCTGAGTAGCCAGGGTGAAGGGTTGATCCTGTCCAGTCTTCTTATTGCCACAAGGGGCATGCCCCTAACACTGGTCCACTGGAAACAGAGATTAGCATGTGAGTCTGCACTATCCTAACAAACACGGTCCAGAAGAGGAGCCTCTGCTCTTAGGCTGAGTTAATGCTAACCTGACACCTCATCTCTCCATTTGATAAATTATATTCTAGTTGCTTAATCAGTTTTACTTTCCTCTAAATCTTGTTTGTTTGCTTCTTGCTTAATGCACATGGTTATACTTAGTGTGCTTATTCTTCTCAGAGTTGATCTTCATATTGCAGATAAAGGGATCAAGAGTCTTCTGTGGCCTGAGACTCCATAGCTGGGTCTCCTGGGTCTTTTCCCTATCTCTGAGGGAGAGAAAGGGAGAGAGCTTAGGGGTATCTAGCAGCCAACTCTTTAGTGACTAGAGAAGCATCCTTCTTCCACAGTGGCCTTAATTTCTCTGATTGGACAGTTTCTTGTTTTGTATTCATTATTCGCAGCAGATTTTATGGTAAAGAATGTGTTTTGATAAATATTTTCATCAGATCTCAGCTCCTGAGTAGCTCTCAGCTTAGATTTTCTTTTCCGGTATGTGAATAGACTTTGATGTCATCATTAATTTCGTCATACTGCATGTTGAGTCATAGGCATTTCCTCTTTTTGGCTACATAAGTCACGTGAACGATGTTTGTCTTAAGGTTAACAAGAAATTCAGATAGGCTTTGCAACACTGATTCTAGCAAATACTCTTAGGTGAACGTGTAGATGGGAGATGCATGTTTTGGTATTAGAAGTTCACCCCTGGATGACTGCAGAAGCTTCTGTAGTGACACTTTACAAGCATCTATCTAACGCGCTGCTGACTTGCTAACAGCTAGACTAGACACTTGCACTGAAGCTGTAATAAACCAGTATTATGTTACAGACTGTAGAGCAAAATAAAAATCTAGGCTCATTTGAAGTCATTCATAAAGTTTGAGTGTCTTGAGACAGGATCTTAGAGTGATAATCTAGTTGGATCTCTTCATTATGTTAGAAATATAGACTCTGGTTTAGGGTGTTTAGTTCCAGCTCCAGGAGAGTCCTAGGCAGCTCTGTTCTCCTGTTTGTGTAACTATGACACTTACAGTGCAACACCATACAGTGTAGCTTCAACATTGTTACTTCTTAAAGAGCTCCAGGTCTTCAAAAGTGGGACATCTCAGCTTCCCTCACCATCTCGAATAACCATGTCACTGCAAGTCCCCCTGTGGCTGTTCTTGTCTTCTGCCTCCTTGTGTGAAATAGTGAAGAAAAGGCATTTTGACTTTCGATTAGCATGGGAAATGGATTCTAGACCACAGTGTGGTTTTTGCAAATACAGTTTTGTACAGAGTCTCTGAGATTCAAGGACTTTTTCTGCTGATACTGGGGCTTAAACTCTGGGTCTGGATGCTGACCTTTAGCTTTTTACTCAAGGCTAGGGCTCTACCACTTGAGCCACACTGCCACTTCCAGTTTTCTGAGTGGTCTATTGGAGATAAGACTTTCCTGCCCCCCAGGCTGGCTTTGAGCCATGATCCTTAGATCGAAGCCTCCTGAGTAGCTAGGATTATATGTGTGAGCCACCAGCTTCCGTTTTTGTTTTGTTTTGCTTTAATATAAATTTAAATTTTTTATTCTTAAATAGTTTTGGTTTATAGTTTCATGGAATGAAGAGTTCTTGCATTTGAATGAGTTAGATTCCGTAGGGCTCTATTTGTTTTCTTGCCCAGGAAATGGTTTAAAATAGAGCTGCCTTGTGCTAATGTTGGGATGTTCCTAGAAAGTAAATGCGTGTCTTTGAATCTGAAGTCTAGAGCATGTTTGGAAAGGATTCAAGAACTGGAGGACATGCTTGCTAAAGAAAGAGACAACTCTCGGCGGATGCTGTCTGACAAAGAGCGAGAGATGGCAGAAATCAGGGAGCAGATGCAGCAGCAGCTGAATGACTATGAGCAGCTGCTGGACGTGAAGCTGGCCCTGGACATGGAAATCAGCGCCTACAGGAAGCTCCTGGAGGGCGAGGAAGAGAGGTGAGTGGCACTGAGGAGGGGCACCAGACCTTGTCTTTTTAATCACAAGGCGATGTGAAGTAGTTTGTCATTTCTGTGTAAGTAGTAGTAGAGTAGCCGATTGTGTTTGTACTCAAGTAGAAAACCGTTGAGAAAAGTCATAGTATGTGGTTGCAGTGATTAGTTTTGCTGTTGGGCAGTGCTAGGATTGGCTCTTTTCTTTCAGGTTTTAAATGTTGTGGCGACTTACTGTGCTATAGAATACCACATTTACTGAAAGAGGTATTTCAAGCCTGTTCTGTATAGGCAGGCTGGGCTTCGTTTTGCTAAGTCTTGCGTTGTTTTCTATTCCTGTGCCACATTTTCTAAGTGCTGGGATTACAGGCATGTACTACCATGCCCAACAGTATATGAACCCACTCTCAGGAAAGAGCAGCGAAGGGAATGTGATTTAGATCTTTAGAAAGCCAGTCGTATTCAGTCACGGCATCCGTTCTGAGCAGTGGCTGCACTGGGAGGCGTCTCCAGCCCCTAGCTTCTCCCTGGATGCTTACATCGCTTTTTCATAGAGGAAAGAAAAGTCAAATTATGGTTATTTTTCAAACAAAATTGATGGTGGATATCTTAGCCTAAAAAACGTGATCCTAGGGCTGGGAGAGTATCTTAGTAGAGTGCTTGCCTAGCATGCTTAAAGCCCTGGGTTCGATTCCTCAGTGCCACATATACAGAAAAAGCCAGAAGTAGTGCTGTGGCTCAAGTGGTAAAGTGCTAGTCTTGAGCAAAAGAAGCTCAGGGACAGTGCCCAGGCCCTGAGTTCAAGCCCCAGGACTGGCAAGAAAAAAAAAAAAAAGGAAAAAAGAAAAAAATGTTGTTAGGTTTTTAAAAAGAGGTAGCCGAGTAAAAACTGCACCAGCACGCACGTGGTATTCAGGTAAGGGGTAGGTTTATTCAGTAGACCTGCTGGGACCAGGCAAGGTTGGCACTCCACGTGGCTGGGAAAGGCCTGGGAAGGAGAGAGCTGGGAAAGAGAGGAAAGAGCTAGAAAAGAGCAGAGAGAGGGGTAAGAACAGTAGCACTCACGTGGTATTCGGGTAAGGGGTAGGTTTATCCAGTAGACCTGCTGGGACCAGGCAAGGTTGGCACTCCACGTGGCTGGGAAAGAGAGAGGAAAGAGCTAGAGCAGAGAGAGAGCTAGAAAAGAAGAGCAAGAGCTAGAAAAGAACAGAGCGAGAAAAAGAGAGCGTCTGGGCCTGGGCTAGGCCTTATGTAGGGTAGGGGCGGGGAAAGGTGTGGCCACATCAAATTCAGATGTGACCTCAGCGGATGCAGATGTGACCTCTTCCAGGTGTCTCAGTTGCCTAGGTAACGCAGGTACTGGGTGGAGACTTTGCTGCGAGGAGGGTGGAGTCTGCTTGCCATCCAGGAGCGGACCTTACAAATGTGACCTTGGTTAAGCTGCTTATTGGCATTGCTTAATATCTTGTTTTAGAAATGTCCGTGTAGGAGCTTAGGATTTTTTTTTAAATTAAGGACACGCATTTGTATGTATTACCGGAATGAAAGTCTTCCTTTCCCCACATAGGCTGAAGCTGTCTCCAAGCCCTTCTTCTCGGGTGACCGTGTCCCGCGCGTCTTCGAGTCGCAGTGTCCGCTCCACTCGCGGGAAGCGGAAGAGAGTGGACGTGGAGGAGTCGGAGGCCAGCAGCAGCGTCAGCATCTCCCACTCCGCCTTCGCCACCGGCAGCGTGTGCATCGAGGAGATTGACGTGGATGGGAAGTTCATCCGCTTGAAGAACACTTCAGAGCAGGTAAAGGGATGCATGGGCCTGGCATGCCCCATTGTCGTCCCCCCCCCCCCCCCCCCCCCCCTCCAAGCCAGCCCTGCCGCATTGCCAGGCCGTGGAGCAATCGCAATAGCTCCTTATCTTTTATTGCCATTCATGCGTCTTCTGGGAATAAAGGTTTCCCTTCTGCTTTTCCCCTAAATTTATGAATAAGTCCAAATTCAAATAGGCTGAGGGAAAGGCTATGGGCTGTCGAAAGCTTCCTTCATTAAACTTTATACAGAGCCTGGGGCATTTTGTCACGGTGACTACGTACTATCTTCCCTCAGATTTGTGCCAGGCTGCTAGCATGGGGGCGATGGTGGCTGTTTTTCCACAGCTGTTCAGAAGCTTTATGAAAGCACACTGAGCCTGCACTGAGATATGTTGGAGAGCATTTTCCTCTAGCTAAATGACCAAACAAATGATAGTGATTTGATTCACCTCAAAAATAGCACGACTTCCAAAGTTTAAAGCTAGGTCTCAGGAGCTCCTGGCTGTGTCACGTAAGTGTAGTGGGGTGCTGGAAGGAGGGGAGCAAGTCTGGGGTGCAGTGTAGGTATGGAGGGGAGCAAGTCTGGGGTGAGTGTAGGTGTGGTGGGGTGCTGGAGGGGAGCAAGTCTGGGGTGAGTGTAGGTATGGAGGGGAGCAGGTCTGGGGTGAGTGTAGGTATGGTGGAGTGCTGGAAGGAGGGGAGCAAGTCTGGGGTGCAGTGTAGGTATAGTGGGGTGCTGGAGGGGAGCAAGTCTGGGGTGAGTGTAGGTGTGGTGGGGTCCTGGAGAGAGTGGAGCAGGTCTGGGGTGAGTGTAGGTGTAGTGGGGTTCCAGAGGGAGGGAGGGGAGTGAGTCTGGGGTGCAGGGCAGGTGTAGTGGGGTGCTGCAGGGAGGGGAGCAAGCCGGGGTGCAGTGTGTCACTGTGAAGCCATGTGCAGGCTTTGCCAGGCGTTGTGGACATGACTGGGCAGTCACTAACCATCTGCATGAGGATGGATAAACCATTGGAATAATTGAATAAGCGCCACAGTTCTGAGCCTAGAGACTAGGCCCTGCGAGCCCTTGGTCACAGGGTTAAAAACTCAGAACGAAACCCAGTATTGGTGGCCCACGCCTGTATCCCTAGCCACTCAGGAGGCTGAGACCTGAGCATTGTCAGTGTTGGTGGCCCACGCCTGTAACTCTAGCCACTCAGGAGGCTGAGACCTGAGCATTGTGGTTCGTAGGAAATCTGTGAGACTCTTAGCTCTGTTTACCCGCTAAAAAGCTGGAAGTGGGCTGGGAAGGTGGCTCAGTGGTAGAGTGCTTGCCTAGCATGCATGAAGCCCTGAGTTCGATTCCTCAGTACCACATACACAGAAAAAGCTAAAGTGGCGCTGTGGCTCAAGTGGTAGAGTGTTGGCCTTGAGCAAAAGAAGCTCAGGGACAGTGCCCACACCCTGAGTTCAAGCCCTAGGACTGGCAAAAATAAAAATGTTGGAAGTGTGGCAGAGTGCTAACCTTGAGCACAAAAGCTCAGGGACAGCACCCAAGCCCTATTCAAGCCCTGTGACTCGCAAATACCCCCTCCACCCCCCACCCCCCCAAAAAAAAGGACTGTAAAGGATACAGGTATTGGATTATTTCCTGATTTTCTATATATTCACAGTAACTTTGTTACCATTTGTTTTGTGAATAGGATCAACCAATGGGAGGCTGGGAGATGATCAGAAAAATAGGAGACACATCAGTCAGTTACAAATATACCTCAAGATATGTGCTAAAAGCTGGCCAGACTGTTACGGTAAGTGAATTTATTATCACTGAATTTCACGTCATTTGTGTTAAGTAACTGATTAATATTTCAGCAAAAACGGTCGGGCTGGGTTTGCGGCTGCGCGTTTGTGATGACCATACTTGGGAAGCGGAGGCAGGAGAATCTTAAGTTCCAAGATCAGTCTGGTCACTTAGTGAGACTCTCCAAACAGTTGCTCTAGGGAAGAGCATCTTTAAGATGGGCATACCTTTGACGACATGAGGGCATTACAATACAAGTACTGTTAAATTTTTTAAAAGTTTTCTTACTGAGAGTAGTCAGAGAGTTGATCTTTGAGTTCTTTTTGTTGACTTTGCACTTCATTAGTAGCTCATGTTTTAGGGCCATGTTCACCAGTGAATGAACTAGGGCTTGGCCTTGGAGCCTCGCACTCTCGCTTGACCTTTTTGTTCAAGGCTAGCTCTGCCATTTGAGCCACACTTCTGCTCCTGGCATTGTGCTGGTTAATTGGAGATAAGTCTTACGCAGTGTCTGCCTAGGCTGGCTTTGAACTGGGACCCTCAGATCTCAGCCTCCTGAGTAGCCAGAATCACCGGTGTAAGCTACCACTTAGCTTTTCCTGAATCAGTCGATTCACTAAACTAGAAGTTACCTAAATTTTGATAGAAAGCCAAAGAAGCCACCGGTTCCATGCAGAAGGCGGTTACTGTGACCGCTGGTGGCAGGTGTGCAGGAGTTCAGGTCACAGTGTTGCTGATCTTGGCGTGTGGGGGCTGGGTCTGTGGACTGATAGCCTCTCTCTTTTCCAGATTTGGGCCGCCAACGCTGGAGTCTCCGCCAGCCCGCCCACCGACCTCATCTGGAAGAACCAGAACTCATGGGGCACTGGTGAAGACGTGAGAGTCATACTGAAGAATTCTCAGGGAGAGGTATGGCCTGTCGCATTGTCCGCTTCCCCTGAAAGCTTAGTGTCTGAGAATGGCTTCTTTCAGAGTGAAATGTGAAGCATGGTGTTCATCGTGGTGAGGTAGGGTAGTTCAAGTCCTAGGAAATACTGCCATCTCTAGGAATAAGAGCCAGGAAGGTGGGAGGCAGACAGTAGAAGGTGTGGCCAGTGAATGAAGCAGGAGGAAAGCGGGGGGGGGGGGGGGGGGGGGGACGAGATGGACGTGGACGTGGTGCTGGAAGGCAGAGGGGAGTGTGGGAAAGGCGCGCCTGTGTCTCGCATCCTTCCTCCTGTGCTTGTTACTGGCCGTGCCAGCAGAGGCCCATTCTTCATCCCGCATTTCCTGACTGCTTTCTGAGGGATGTAATTTTTGGAAAGTCAGATCTGGATCTTCACGTTAGTTCAGGTAAATGCTGACCTTCTGTATGGATAGGAGGCGTTTGCAGAGCAAGTCCTGTTCCTGGCCCTCTTGCTCTTCCCTCGGCTGCAGCGGTCTGGTGTTCTGATGGCTCTGCAGAAGGAAGCAGGGTGCTCACCGTCTGCCCTGGTCTCAGGCTGGAAGTGATAGGGCATTGAACTGTCATTGTACATTGCACTACAGTTGTGTGCGATTTTGGGGTCTGTCTGGGGAAGTTCACCTCCGAACACATGATAGGTTTTGAAGGTGGGTGCAGTTTACAAGCTGGCAGCAATTCACAGAATGCCCGCTGAAGCCCTGGTCTCACTTCCTGCCTGGGGAATCCTGCCCACCCGTGGCTGACAGGATGCTCAAGTGTTAGTCAGATGCAGTGCCTTTGCTGGTAGCGCCCCCTGCTGGCCCAAACTAGCACAATTTCTCAAAAAACATGGTTAGAGGTGATGATTTGCCTTATTCCTAAAGCCTTGTTGGAGGTACGTGTGATGACCTGGGCTTCCTGTGAGCCCTGGGCCACGTCCCTACCTCTGCCCATCTTCCCTGGAGGATACTGCGATGCAGTAACTACTGTTTGGCAGGACGTATGCCTTGAAGCAGAGCTAGTCAACTTTAATTTTTTTTTTTTTTTTTGGGGGTCCGGTCGTGGTGCCTGAACTCTGGGCCTGGGCGCTGTCCCTCAGCTCTTCAGCTCAAGACTAGCGCTCTACCACTTGAGCCACAGCGCCACTTCCAGCTTTTTTCTTTTTGCTTATGTGGTGCTGAGGAATCGAACCCAGGGCCTCATGCATGCAAGGCAAGCGCTCTACCACTGAGCCACCTTCCCAGCCCTTTAATTTTTTTTTTAAATAGATTTTTGTCTTCTTGCTGTGGCATTGAACCTCGATCCTCAGATCTCAGCCTCTTGAGTAGCTAGGATTACAGACGTGAGCCACCAGCATGGGCCTGGCCTGCCATGTATCTCCTTCAGGTACGTGGTTAGCTTTAGGTACCTTGCTGAGAAATTTTTGAGATCTGTTAGTGTTTTGACTAATAAGTTTCTGGGCTAAGCATCCTCAGAACATTTTAGTTCTAATTTTCTTTTTAATCTAGATTTTGACTCACTTGTTTTCCATGCGGGCTCTGAATTCAATAAATTGGTTTGTAAATGTTTTCAAATGAAAAGTTCTTAGCAAGCAGGCTCAAATTTCAAGTAGTTACGTTGAAGTAATACATAATGAGTGACGTTGGGCCGGGCTGTTTCCTGAGCTGCCGGCCGAGTCTGCTGGTGTTGAGCTGCGGTGGGAGCTTCGTGAGCCAGTGCTGCACACGCACACGTGTCTGCTCTGTCACTAGTGGCTGGGGCTGAGTGTGACCACCCAAGACTTTGTCGCTCTTCATTCTCAGCTGGAAGGAGTCTAGGGAAGCAGTGTGTGGCCAGAGCTTCGTGAGATTCTTGTCTCTGTTGATACCTTGGTTCAAAGAATTAGTCTATTGAATTGATGATGGCAATCATGCTTTTAAAAAATTAGGTTAGGGCTGGGAAGGTGGCTCAGTGGTAGAGTGCTTGCTTTGCATGCATGAGGCCCTGGGTTCCATTCCTCAGTACCACATAAGCAGAAAAAAAAAAAAGCCAGAAGTGGTTCTGTGACTCAAGTGGTAGAGCGCTAGCCTTGAGCTGAAGAGCTGAGGGACAGCGCCCAGGCCCAGAGTTGAGGTCCACAATCAGACCCCCCCCAAAAAAAAAATTAGGTTAATGGCTGGGAAGGTGGCTTAGTGGTAGGGTGTTTGCCTGGCATGCATGAAACTCTGGGTTCAATTCCTCAGCACTATACACAGAAAAAGTCAGAGGTGGTGCGGTGGCTCAGGTGGTAGAGTGCTAACCTTGAGCAAAAAAGCAGCTCAGGGACAGTGCCCAAGCCCTGAGACTGGCAACAAAAAATTAGGTTGAAGTAGGCTTGGAAACTGATCCACATGTATAAAAATGGACTAATTTCACAGAATCGCAGTTGCTGGTGGGAGAAACTTCATGTACATGGGCCCCTCCCGCTCAGTCGACTTCTGCTGGCCAGGTGCCAGAGTCTCAGCCTGTTAAGCCTAGCTACTGAAACAGGGAGGAATGTGATTGGAATGCAGACTGGGCAAAACATCTGCAAAAATGTATCCTTCCAGTTACCCAGCAGAAAGCCAGGTTGAAGGCTTGACTGGAGGGTGGATCACTAACTCCCTGAGCTCAAGACCCTGAGTTCAAGCCCCAGTCCTGCCCTATCCCCCAAATCCTTCCTAGATCTGTACTTGTAGAATCTGTCCGTGGACATACTTCACGTTGAGCTTCATTTCTATGGCCCTGTGTCTTGGATGTCTTCCTCTTTCATTTTAAGCTTGCTGGGCTGTTCAGTTGCCGTGGAGTGATCCACCTCGAGCCACCTTTTGGGGGTGTGGGAAAGAACCGGGAAGCCTCTGGCCGCATGCGCAGGCCAGCCTGTTCATGTCAGTACACAGCACAGCCATCTGTGTTCCAGCCTTCAGGAGTGCTGTGTGCCTCCCCAGTGGGTGGCAGAGATCGTTTGTGTGCAGAGCACGTGTGCTGCTCGTAATTAGTGCTAATCCACTTTGCCAAGCAGCCCCTCAGAAGTAATGAAAGGAGCTGTCCTTCCCAGCTTGCTCCTCCGGTCCTGCCTCTGCTGCCCAGCATCCCCCAGATTGCAACAGCTGGCCCCCAGCTTCCTTCCATTCAGCATTTGTGTCGCACCTTGAAGATCTTGAGGCCAAAAATCATGTTGAGTTGTATAAAGAATTTAGTGTGCGGAAATCTTTCGTACAGAAAGAATTCTTCAGAAACAGTGGGAGAAAAGCATTGGAAACTTCCCAGTGGGCATTTCAAATTGGAGACTAGCAGCTCCCCTGCAGGGAAAATTTAAGGTCTGGGAAGTGCTGCTAATTATGCAAAAGTTCTTGTTCTGTAGCTAAAGCTGCTGCAGAACTGGCTTAAAAAGAAGTCCCTAATCCAGGAGGAATACTGTTTGTTAAGCACAGTAGGCCCTCCGCCTGCAGCCTTGGGATTTCAGGGGTGGTTTTGAATGTAAGCTTTCTTGGTTTTAGGAGGTTGCTCAAAGAAGTACAGTCTTTAAAACAACCATACCTGAAGAGGAAGAGGAGGAAGAAGAACCAGCTGCAGTGGCTGTGGAAGAAGAATATTTCCACCAGCAGGTATTTTGATTATTATTGTATGCAGGTCCCCTCCCCCTGTTACTTAATGAACTGGAGCAGTAGTCTGCTCTGATCTTTCCCAATTAATACTCAAGGTTACACTTTTAGGGGGGTGAGTAGAAAATACTAGCACACCCCCTTCTGTCATTCATAGTTCATTTTCGTCATTTATTTTCTAACGTACATACTACGTTATGGTGGGACATGTATACTGTTTATAAAATACTTATGGGCCAGTATGGTGGAGCACACCTATAATCCCAGCTGTCCTGGAGGCAGAGACCAGCTAGTGGTTTCACTTAAGCCCTTCAACAAACAAACCAGTGTAACGTGTGTAATCTCCAATCACTTGGGAGTCATTGATAAATGCAACATTTGAAAAAATGTTGAAAAAAATCACTAAAGCAGAAAATAGAGGACAGGATTCAAGTGGTGGAATGCCTTCTTTGCGTACTTAGGGCCTAAGTTCAAACCCAGTTCCCCTTCTTCCCCAAAACATACGGCTTGGATTGTATACTTTAAAACTTTGAAAACTTTAGCTCACTAAATCAGAACAAGCCGTTGCATATAAATGATAGGAGAAGGTAATACTCAGTTTCAGTATGAAACAAAAAATCCTGGCTATATTAAGTTCCTAATCAATATCTCATTACAAGATAGATTGCAGCTGATGCTTGGGCTTTTGAGAGCCCTTGAAATAAAAGAACTCCAAATTTGGTTTTAATTAATTGGATTGGAATTATGAATAACTAATGAGCCCTTCAGTTATGCCCTCAAATGGCTTGAGTTTGAGCGTTAATCAGTCCTGTGCCCTGTGCTCATAAGACTTAGCTCCACATCTTCAGGCTGATGAGCGAAGTTCGCTTTGCTTCATTGGCTTCATCTCTACTCTAAGGCAGCATTCTCTCATGCCTCACCCGGGTGACGGCCACTCCGGAGGGTCACACATGCCGTGGACGTCCACCTGGCTACCTTCTCATGCATTTGGAGGTGTAGTTATGGATGGTGGTTTACACCAGGCTTTCGCTAGAAGCAAGTACAGAATCCGTCCCCTCCCCTTGCTGGACATCACACTGAGCATGAGCAGAAAGAAGTCACACGATGCTTTGCACTCGCTTGCTACAGGAGTGTCGGCAGGGGGGGATGGGCGCCTGGGGAGCACAATTCTGGAAAGAGTGCGTGTGCCATAGTTGGAGTGGTGGAGATTGTTTGGGCAGTAGCACGCAGTGGTGGTGCTGTGTGGCTACATTGTTAACAAGCCGTCCCAAACTCGGCTCAAAAGCAGTGGCTTCTCTCTTGCCTGGATGCTTTGATGTGACCAGACCACACAGCAGAGCAAGTTCATCAGAGTTGCCTTGAGTCATGAGCGCGGCTGCCTCTGGAATATTCCTGAGGGCTCAGGCTTGTGTGGCTCCTGATGAGTAGTAGGTAAGTTAGACCAGGCTGCTGACCACGTAGCAGCTGGCGCAGAGTGGAAATGTCCCCATGGTTGTTTAGGGGTGGTCCTGCATTCTAGGAATGTGCTCTACCACTGGCCTGCACCCATGCGCTGCTGTAGTGATGGTTAAGGTGCGAGGGCCGCGTTGTCTGTCTGCCTGTCCCACCTGCACTGCCCCGGTGGGGTTAGAAATGAGGCTGAAAGGTTTGAGGCTGACAACTCTGTAGTGAGTTCCAGGGGGGGGATGGACACCCCTTTAGTCTAGAATGCCACCGGGCCGGGAGTCGAGGGGTGGGCGGTGAGGGGCCTGCAGAGGGTGGAGGGAGCAGGTAGGCTCGCGACCGAGCTCGGGGGGCGGCGCGCGGCGGGGGGCGGCGCGCGGCGGGGGGGGGCGCGCGGCGGGGGGCGGCGCGCGGCTGTGTACGGCAGGCAGCAGTGTCCGTGGCGCCCCGGGTTGGCGGGTGGATCCAGCGAGCGAGGGATTCAAGGGCTTTGGTGGCCTTCGGAGACTCGGGTTTAGCCCGGTCCGTGGCGAGTGGATCCTGCCGCGTGGGACGGACGTGGCGGGTCAGGAAGGAGTGCACGCGAGGCGCGCAGCTTGGGCGAGGCTGCGGGACGGTGGCGCTCCGCGCGTGCGGATGACGTCAGAGCCACAGAGGCTGCAGGACGGTGGCGCCCCGCGCGTGCGGATGACGTCAGCCACAGAGAGGCTGCTGGACGGTGGCGCTCCGCGTGTGCGGATGACGTCAGAGCCACAGAGAGGCTGCGGGACGGTGGCGCCCCGCGCGTGCGGATGACGTCAGAGCCACAGGCTGCTGGACGGTGGCGCTCCGCGCGTGCGGATGACGTCGGAGCCGCAGAGAGACGTTCCTTAATCCAGATCAGCTTTAAACGCGAGTCAGCTCAGAGCAGGGAGCGTGGGCTGGCGGCCTGGCGTGGAGCTGGCGCCTATCTGGGGAAGAAGCGGTAGGGGAGGGTGGGAGGACGGGGAAGCCGAGCTCTGTGGAGGGCTGTGGCGCGCTGTGGAGCGCTGTGACGCTCTGTGGAGGGGTGTGGAGGGCTGTGGCGCTCTGTGGAGGGGTGTGGAGGGCTGTGGCGCTCTGTGGAGGGGTGTGGAGGGCTGTGGCGCTCTGTGGAGGGGTGTGGAGCGCTGTGGCGCTCTGTGGAGGGGTGTGGCGGGCTGTGACGCTCTGTGGAGGGCTGTGGCGCTCTGTGGAGGGGTGTGGCGCGCTGTGGAGGGCTGTGGCGCTCTGTGGAGGGGTGTGGAGGGCTGTGGCGCTCTGTGGAGGGGTGTGGAGGGCTGTGGCGCTCTGTGGAGGGGTGTGGCGGGCTGTGGCGCTCTGTGGAGGGGTGTGGAGCGCTGTGACGCTCTGTGGAGGGCTGTGGCGCTCTGTGGAGGGGTGTGGCGCGCTGTGGCGCGCTGTGGAGGGCTGTGGCGCTCTGTGGAGGGGTGTGGAGGGCTGTGGCGCTCTGTGGAGGGGTGTGGAGGGCTGTGGCGCTCTGTGGAGGGGTGTGGAGGGCTGTGACGCTCTGTGGCGCGCTGTGGAGGGCTGTGGCGCTCTGTGGAGGGGTGTGGAGGGGTGTGGCGCTCTGTGGAGGGCTGTGGCGCTCTGTGGAGGGGTGTGGCGGGCTGTGGCGCTCTGTGGAGGGGTGTGGAGGGCTGTGGCGCTCTGTGGAGGGCTGTGGCGCTCTGTGGAGGGGTGTGGAGCGCTGTGGCGCTCTGTGGAGGGGTGTGGAGCGCTGTGACGCTCTGTGGAGGGCTGTGGCGCTCTGTGGAGGGGTGTGGCGCGCTGTGGCGCGCTGTGGAGGGCTGTGGCGCTCTGTGGAGGGGTGTGGAGGGCTGTGGCGCTCTGTGGAGGGGTGTGGAGGGCTGTGGCGCTCTGTGGAGGGGTGTGGAGGGCTGTGACGCTCTGTGGCGCGCTGTGGAGGGCTGTGGCGCTCTGTGGAGGGGTGTGGAGGGGTGTGGCGCTCTGTGGAGGGGTGTGGCACTCTGTGACGCGCTGTGGCGGGCTGTGGCGCGCTGTGGCGCGCTGTGGAGGGCTGTGGCGCTCTGTGGAGGGGTGTGGAGGGCTGTGGCGCGCTGTGGAGGGCTGTGACGGGCTGTGGCGGGCTGTGGCGCGCTGTGGCGCGCTGTGGAGGGCTGTGGCGCGCAGGCCCGCTGGCGGAGGCGAGAGGTTCCTGGTCACTGACTTCCTTCTCTTTCACCCCAGGGAGCCCCAAGAGCCTCCAACCGAAGCTGTGCAATTATGTGAACTCGCGAGCCCGCGGTCTTCCGAGAAGCATGGTAATCCTTACGCAGTGCAGAGCCTTCCCAGAGCACAGAGTATTTTTGTATTTCCTTTATGTGAATTTTTAAGCTGCGAATCTGATGGCCTTAATTTCCTTTTCCACACTGAAAGTTTTGTAAGAGAACCATATCCGTACACCTTGTTGCAAGATGTGAATTACCGACACTGAACTAGCTAACTGTACTGTTTGTCATGGTTTCCTCAGTTTTTTTAAATGCATTTTTTTGGCTTTTTATTTTTATTTTTTTTATATGCACGTATGTGGAATTTTTTTTTTTCTTCTCAGTTCTTAGGAGAATGGGTCAGGAGGGTAAATAACCACTGTGTCTGGGGATAATTTGGAGATTGCTCATCTAGAATAGCAATCTGCTCTTGATTCTTCTCTGCTCTATTAGAAACGGTGCTGTGAGGGAGGGAGGCATTTTTCATTATATTGAATTTTTGTACTGAATTTTTTTGTAATACGCAATCAAGATGACAATTTTTTTTAAATAGAAAAGAAAAATTTTGTAAGAAGGCAATATTAACCTAATCATCATGTAAGCACTCTGGATGAAGGATTCCGCAAACCTTTGTTTTATGGTCACTTCTCTTAGATTCTTAATTCATGAAAGGAAGGGAGGGGGGTGGAGAGGGGAGGGGTGCTCTATAAATGCATTAGTTGTGTTTTTTTAAGATAGCGTAACATGCTTAAATTTCTTATGTGACATTAACAAATAAAAAGATGTTTTAATATGATTTTACTGTCATTTTGTGTGTGTGTTCTGGGGTTCAAACTCAAGGCCTAGGCACTGCCCTTGAGTTTTTGTGCTCAAGGCTAGTGCTCTACCACTTCAGCCAGAGCTCCACTTCTGGCTGTTTTGGTAGTTAATTGGAGGTAAGAGTCTCATGGGCTTCCCTACCTGGGCTAGCTTTGAACTGATCATCAGATTTCAGCTTCCTGAATAGTTAGGATGATAGGATGACAGGCATGAACCACGGGTGCTTGACTGACTTATTCTTGGTGTTTTTTTGTTGTTGTTGTTGGTGTTGTTGTTTTGCAGGGCCTGAGCTCTGTTTTTGAGCCTCTCTGTTCAAGGCTACCTACCACTTGAGCCACGGCACCACTTCCAGTTTTCTGGAGATAAGAGTCTTATGGACTTTCCTGACTGGACTGGCTTTGAACTACAATAATCAGATCTCAGCATCCTGAGTAGTTAGGATGACAGTTGTGAGCCACAGGTGCCCAACTTTGTTGTTGTTGTTGTTGTTAAACCAAACCAAAAAACAAAAAACCCTCTTTTCAAACAGGCTGTGAGGATTGTGGTTCAAAGCCAGCCAGGCAGGAAAATCCACGAGATTCTCCAATTAACCAATGAAAAGCCAGAAGTGCTAGCCTTAAGCAAAAAGAGGTAAGGGATAGTGTTCAGGCTGAGTTCAAGCAAGCCCCAATTCTGGCACATGGGAATATACACGCACATGCACATACGCACGAATGTTGTTGACTCTACCATGTCAGATTCCTTATTATACTTTTAATTTCCCCAGCTGCTGTCACACATGAGATCTGCCAGCCTCAACCTCGCGCTAGGATGCCAGGCTTGGTGGCACCAGTCTAATTAATGCCCAGCTAACTAGGCCTTTTCACTAGTCAACAGTGGGGCTGTCCAGATTTTCTTATGGGAAACTGTATTGGAAGAAAACTACATTGCTATTGGAAGGAAAAATGAAAATACTAATATTTTAGAGTCTTTTGCTGTTGAGGGACAGGGGGGAAGAAAATAAGTAAAACCCATTTTATAGAGGAATAACTGAATGGTAGGAAATAAAAGGTGTTCTGTTGGGTAATGGTAATAAGGGTGTGGCTAGTGTGGTTTGGGTTTTGTTAGCATAGGCAGGTCTTCTGGCTGGTGCAGAATGTGTGAGGCCGGCCTGGGACACAGGCGATCTCAGGTGCTAAGCTGGTCTTTCAGACCCAGTTTGTGCCGCCCTCTTACACATTCCTGCAGTGAGCAGCTGTGCAGAGACTACCAGCTTCACTTGAAAAGAGCTCACAAAACCCCAAATTACTGTGTTCCAGAGATGAAGTGTGCGCTCTGGAGCTGTCGTAGACAGGAGATACATGCCAGGTCAGGAGTCCTGACTGGCGAAGCAGATAAAACCATAGCATCTCCACACAGATTTGTCTTGAGGAGCCATGTTTGTGAAACGTTTTGCCACAAGATGGGGTTCTTTTCATCAAACATATTGCAGGTGCTTTATTATAAGGTTATAAAAATCAACACTTTAATTAGGCAGTGAGAAAAGCTGGCAGTTGTAATACAGTAGAATTGTATAGTGTCTGGTGATACTTAGAATAAAAATCCAGGACTGGACATTTAAGTAATGGGTGCCCCAGGCTGGGTAGCAGGACGACTTTGTTGACTGTTTACACAAACTCAGTATTTTCTGGAATTGAGCAGCAAACACTGAGCCATTAGAGGTCTTGAAATCGTGTCTCTATAGGTGGTTGTTAGGTAAACAGCATGTAAATCTGAACACAGTTTCAAGTATTTTGGAGCACACACAGCACCTTTTGTCCGTGTGCCTTCTGTGTTCTGGTTTTTTGTTTTTTTTTGGGGTCCAGTTGTGGGGCCTGAACTCTGGGCCTGGGCGCTGTCCCTCAGCTCTTCAGCTCAAAGCTAGTGCTGTACCACTTGAGCCACAGCGCCACTTCCGGCTTTTTTCTTTTTGCTTATGTGGTGCTGAGGAATCGAACTCAGGGCCTCAGGCATGCAAGGCAAGCGCTCTACCACTGAGCCACCTTCCCAGCCCCATGTGTTCTGGTTTTACCATTGTGTTTCGATAAAGACTTTCACTCCTCGCATCTTCACTAAGATATCTCCACTAAGAACATTCTCAGTACATTTTTTGTTGTTTTAGGTTTGAACTCAGGGCCTGGGCACTGTCCCTCAGCGTTTTTGTTCAAGGCTGAAGCTCTAACCACTTGAACCACAGCTCCACTTTGAGCTTTTTTTTGGCTAGTGGTTAATTGGAGATAAGAGCCACATGGACTTGGCTGTCCAGTTGGCTTCAAACCTTGATTCTCAGATCTCAGTCTGCTGAGTAATGAGGTGTGAGCCACCAATGCAAGTGTTTTTTTTTTTTTTTTTTTGGAAAATTATCTCACCTCATTCTTGGTTCTTAGCGATTTCTTTAGCCTTACATTGAATATCTTAGCTTTCTCTGTGCTATCTTAGTAATACCTTATTTATTTCAACTAAATCTGTCTTCAGTCTGCCTAGCTCTTGGTTGATCCAGTTTCTAACTTCATTTACTTCTCATTTCTGAAGTTGGCTGTGATTCTTTTTCAGATTTTTCTGTGCTTTAAAAAATTTCTATTTGAAAACCACTTTAAGGTTGTGCTATTTTAATCCAGGCAGAAGCATTGTGAAGGCCAGCTGGAGAAAAGCAGTGGCAGAGCCCTAGCTCAGAACAAAAGGACTGTCTGTACTTGGCTTACGCGGTAGGCCGCTTCTCTGGCACGTACACTGGCACATACATGCTTGGGTCCAGTCCTCAACACCATAAAGCCAAACCCTTCAGTCATTGATTTTATAGTCCTGATACTTGTGTTCTAGGGAACTCATTAACTCTTCCTCCTGGGGCTTTTAGGATTGTGAGCGCATCTCCAACAAAGGCTGTCTGGAGAGAGTCACATGGCAGGGTTTTGGTGCATCTGGTCTACTCCAGAGTTGATGGAGCATCCCTGGTCCATCCTGGTGATGTGTTTTCTTGGCTTATGGTATAAGCCTTAAGCTTGGGATCCTGTTTTTCTTAGGCGAGTTACCTGAACACTCAGGTAAGTCCCTTGGCTTCTGCTCTGGGTTGGGAGGCCGTGTGTGGCGATGTAGGGTGTGGGAGCACTGGGGGTTCTTGGCTTCTAGCACGCTCTCCATTCTATATCTGTCCTGCCTTCCTTGGGCCCAAAACCATGTTTCCCACCCGATCACCACTTTTAGGCATCAGATTTCAGGTTTTTTCTTTGAGTTGGTCCTGGGGCTTGAAGAAGGTTCCTGGGTGTTCTCTCAGATTATTTGCACTCTACCATTTGAGCCACAGCTCTTCTGCCTTTTTGGCAATTAATTGGAGATAAAAGTCTCACAGACTTTCCTTCTGGGGCTGGCTTTGAACCATGACGCTCAGATTTCAGCCTTGTGAGTAGTTAGGATTACAGGCGTAAGCCATGGGCACCTGGTCACATTTCACATTTGGAGGTTTCTGTGATGCCTGGAAATTTCTAGGTTTTTCTCTTAAGCTTGGCTCTATAGTAAAACAATTTATTCTGTTTTAGTGGAATGAAGGGGGTGTATGTGTATCTTTCTAAATCATTGTCCTCTTACGTTCAGTGGCTTCTTCCAGCCTACTCATCACATCTAACATTACAGAGAAATTGATTTGAAAAGCACATTTTAAAATGAGAGAGGTTTTAAAAAAATCCTCTAGTTAATTCCATCTGGTTCATTGGCTTGACATGAAGTAGCAGTATGAATGCGAATTTTTAAGAGGTGCTGAGGGTTGGGGGTGAGGGGCGATGGGTTGCTAGAGGTCACCTTTTGAGTCAAGAAGAGAGGGCCTGGTATCATAATGTTTACATTGCCAGAGCCTCACATTCTGAAGTTGGAATGTCTCCTTTTTTTCTGCATGCCTTCCTAACGGGACTGTCAAACCAAATGGATGAGAATGAGGGAAATGTTAAAGACAAACATACGAAAAATACCCGAAGTCTTACTTGAAGTTATTAAGAGGAATGACAGTCACATGTGTTGAGCTGGAATATTAGTGGAGGATGGCTGGGAGCCGCTGCTGCTTGGCTATTCCAGAGGGTCACCACAAGGGGGCGGTAGAGCAACGGCTATTTGCCATGCCTTTTGCCTTTTCCACAAGAATGCTTTTTCCTTCACAGCACAGTAAATCCTGTCCTCTGCTGACTTTCTCCAGAGACAAAACACACCTGATTTAAGGAGACAGCCCATCCAGGAGCCTAATTACTTATAAGATTATAAAAATCAACACTTTAATTAGGTAGTGAGAAAAGCTGGCAGTTGTAATACAGTAGACTTGAAGAGCATCTGGTGATACTTACAATAAGAATCCAGCACTCGATGTAAGTAATGGGTGCCCCAGGATGGGTAAATAAAACACATTCGTCCAGATTGATTGTGTGAGTTTCCTCCAGCAACTGGAGTTGGAATTATCCGTTTAAAGGGCAGCCAAGTTTGCTCTTAAAGAGGCGCGCTCCATTTCCATGGTTGCTTTTTTTTTTTTTTAAACCACATTACTGCGTTATTCTGCTAGAGTTGCAGCCTCAGTCCTTGAGGTTGACATCTTTGATTTCAAATAAATCCCACCTACTTTTATTGACACTGGTGGTACTTGGCCTGTGCCAGTGTGATGTCCAAACGTTTGCCTTTCTCCATGGTCTGGCCTGGGCAGATTGCATGTGCAGCTGTGCCAGGCCAGAGGTCTTTTTGCGAGGTTCACTTACTTTTTTTGGCCTTTCTGTCTGAGTATTCTCAAGCGGTCAGGTTTGGTCTGCAGAATACACACGCACATTCCACTCCAGCCCTCTGATGGTCTTAAGTCCCATGACATAAGTTTGGCCACAGTGCTAGCCAGTGTCCAGTGAGAATCAGCGGGAGCCACAGATGTCTCATTGTGCTGTGGCTGGGAACTGGCTTTCTAGCATCATGGCTGAGCCTGGTCTCCAAGATGACTGC